ATAGAAGTTGGACGGGATAGGAGTTGGACGGGGGGTGGGCCGCCAGCCGAGGGGAGGTGGGCAGAGGAGAAGTGGCCGAGGCGGAGAGGAGATGGCGTGAGGAGGCGGAGAGGAGAGCGGGCGAAGGCCGACCCGTGGGTGGAGGCATAGGGCGGAGGCCAAGGAGAGGTGGACAGAGGTACCGGGCGGGGGCCTTGCGGAGGTGGTTGGAGGTAGCGGGCGGAGGAGGTGGGCACAGGCGGACAGGAGGTCAGTGGAGGCCGAGGGGAGGTTGGTGCACACAGCGGAATGTGCAGCGGGATGTTGGGAGGAGGCGGACGCGAGGTGGGCAGAGGGCAAGGGGAGATGAGAGATCCCAATGGCAGAAGGGAGGGTTGGCGCACACAGCACAATGTGCAGCAGGATGGTGGGAGGAGGCGGACGCGAGGTGGGGGGAAGGCAAGGGGAGATGGGAGATCCCAATAGCGGAAGGGAGGTGGGCGGAGGCTGACAGGAGGTCGTCAGAGACGGTCAGGAAGTGTCAAAGGCCAAGGGGAGGTGGGCGCGCACTGTTAAAAAAGAAAAAACAAAGAAAAAAGGCGCGAGCAATGGGATGTCCAGCGGGATGGCGGATGTGCGGGCAGAGGAACGGAGCCCAGAGTGGAGGTGAGTGGACTGAAGAATTCTCAAAGGACCTCGAATTTAGGCCGGCAGGAGTGAAGCGTTTTTTCACTTTAGAAGTAACCGATGCAGATCCCAGGGCTTGATCCCTAGACCTTCCACACCCGTGTACAGTATCGAGTCGACCCCTGTGTGTTTGAACCCGTGAGCTGTGTTTTGGTAGTTGACTGTTGTCTGTCGTAGGTCTGTGTAGCTGTAGGGGCACCTGATGGACTTGACCCCTAAGGTACCCGACTGCGACTTTTCTGAAACTGACCGACTTGGCCTCCCTTGGCCTAGGACCTTGATCCTGAAATTCGAATTTGGGGTCTGCATCGTGGAATGCCTTTCAGGACACTTAACGCATTAGCTCTAGCACTGACCAAATCAGAGCAGCCAGGGATGCCAACTTAGAAAACCTTTTGTGAGATTAAATCTGGACCACCCAAACTTTTTGAATGAAAGGTCAGAGGCGTAGTACTAATGTCCTAGTGAAGGGGTCGTGCTATTTGGAAACAGCATTTGTCGAAGAGCTGCAGATGATAGATGATCACAGATTTGCAATTCCGAATTTTGTGTTTGAAAAGTGACATGCAGATTTCAGATTTGCTTTCAGTTTTCTTCCTTCCAGAACTTTCAGGTCTTGCAACAGCAGCCCCAGTTCTACACTACAGTCTCCCCCCAAACATAACGCACCCTGATTATGCAAGCTACCTTTCGGGTTCAATACAGTCAAATTGAGGGTGTGTTGTGTTCGGGGGACAACAGTACTACATCTCCCTACTGAGCCCAAACGCATGGCCGAGTCTTGACAACTGTATCGTTTTTCTTCACAACTGTACCTTTTTGTGTTTAGCTCATGCGTGGTATATGACCACATCTTCCAAACCAGCGCTTAGTGCCTGAGGCCCCACACAAGACACAGGACACAACAGGTGGCTTTTCAGGCAAGCCGCTATGCTCCTCCTGCTTGCTGCATTGACACTAGGCCCAACAATGGGGCTAGGCTGCAATACGTGTACTGAGTCTAACAAGGTAGAAGTGTTTCAAAGGAGCTATTTACAGCTCATCCCCCTTGACCAGGCTGCCGTTGGATCTAGGCTGCACTTCTGGTACTGAATCTAACGATGTAGAAGTGTTTGTGTCAAACCACTAACAGCTCAACCCCTGCATCAGCTGCCCCTCTGATATCGGGCACAGAAGCCCCTGTGGTGCTCTGATCATATTGTAAGTCTTAGCTTGAGCCCAAGAAATTTGATGCCACAACTATGTTTTCTAAGCACGGAGTCATAGACACAGCACCCCTGGCGTCTGGCCCTTAAGCAGTCCATGAAGCTCTCTCTATTCTCTTAAGCAACTACCTTCTTCCCCCCAAAAGTAACACCTTGGTGTTTTAAACTAATAAAACACCCACTGGGCAATTATCTGATAGAACCCCTGGGTGCATTTTTACGGAGGGGGATGAGCAACCTTGTTTTGGTCAGTGTGGAGAAGGAAACTGGTCCGATAATCCTGCTTATCAATCACCTGAATAGGTCTTCTGCACCGGGCGCTCCAGATCCGAGTGCTGCACAAGCCCTTCACACGAAATGGCAGGCAACCTCGGTTTGTCAGTCTCGTTACAACAAGACCCCGCTTGCACTTCCACAGACGGGTTTGGCCACTCTTTTACCAGTTCTAGTTCACCTTATCAGATTGACAGTTGACCGTGTGGTTCATGGCTCAGTGTTTGCACATAATTACCTCTTCAAGGTGGAAAAGCCAGCCTACAAGCACAAGACAGGCATGTGCCATGACCCCGATCCACAGCTCCAGCCATCGAGTCCAATGTCATCCCAAGATGTTGACATGGAAAAAGCCGATTAAGATACATGAAGCACTGAATCACAAGATGATAACAACAATAATAATCACCCACTCAATGCAGCACGCCTCTCAGGCTATACTCACATCACACCTCTCAGGCTATACACACATCACACCTCTCAGGCTACACTCACACCAGGACTTTCCTGGATGTGCCTAACCACAATTACAGTCATACCTATCTGGCCTCAATCACGTCCAGAGCTGAGTTAAAAAAGGTCTAGAAAATAAAACCCTGTTCCGCTAACCAGCCTATCAGTTTCCAGACTCTCCAAACTGTACTTTTCCCTTCCTCCCAACCCATGAACAATGCGCTCCTGATATTCACTGCATCCTCCCAGTCAACATGTGTTGACTGCCATTGCATACAGCCATGAATCCTAAATGTGGTGCTTGAAGTTGATTGCCAAACCACAGTGTAGCCTCCCCTTTCACGTTCAACTCGACAGCGCTATTTCTTCTCTAAAGCAGACAAGACCTTGTTCTTGCTGATCAGCCATTCTGGCTATAACATCCCGGGCTACCACCCTCTTCACCACCAATCGAGTATGTCTCTTTCTATGACTACTTGAGTATGTCTCTTTCTATGGCTACTTGTTCTTCATCCCAGCAATAAGTTTCACTCCATCACACTTGTTCTCCGTACTGCTGGTGCCTCAACCTCCCTTCACATCTGAGGGCCGTCGTTTCTTGTGGACTGTGTGAGAGAGAACACAACAGCTTCCCGTAGCGAAGTGAATCAGACGAAGGGAAGGAAGATGAATCAATGCGCAAAACGAAAGTTCGCTGCACGTGCAGGAGCAGAACAAAGGTTGGCGTTCAAACTCCAAAAGTGAATTCGGAGGGAAGGAAGCTACATCAATGGGTAAAACAACAGGGGGAACACGCAAGCCTAGGACACGAAGGAGGCCAACCTTGAAACAACACTGGAGACGGAACCCAACCTAAACAGATTTCGCCCCCCCTCTTCCTCTGCGCACTCAGTCTCATGGCCCCAACTACGCCTCTCTCCAATGCTCTCTTGTGCAGCCCTCACCTTCCTTTGCATGCACTTCCCCTCTGTGTGCAGCTTCAAAAATTCATGTTTCCATTCTACTTGATGGGACACCCTGCCTGCCTACTACTAAATTCACTGCCCTCCTCCCCCGCTCCGCCTGCAAACCTTCTTCCCTGCCTCCATTCAATTCATACTTTGTGGCACATTTCCTCCCTCCCTAACATATGTGGGTTTACTACCCCCTTCCCCCTCTTCGCCTCCAAAACATTCATGAACTCCCCTCTCCCTCCATGTTCAGACCCACCACCTCTCCCACTTCCCCCTTCGTGGCCCTTTCCCCCTCGTGACACCCACCCACAAGTCTCAATGCCTAATCAAGCACTTCCCAAGTTGGCTGGACGCCATGAGGAGGTTCCAGCGACATTGCCCAATGATAAGAGAACGCCCCACCGAGTCTCCCAGCTCCAAAGAGCCTGCACCTACTTCTACCTGCCTTTCTTCGAAAGTTTCATCATGGTTTAGACCGTATCAAAATTTCAATCGAGCGCATTATGCCATCATGCTGCAATGCTACGCGCAAGCAGGAAACCATTCTTTGCAGTGCCTAATAGACATTGTTTTCAATTAACTTGTGGCATGGAAGGTTGCTGATTGAACAGTTTCTAAGACTTTGTGGTGGAGGTGATCCCCAATTGTGTGTCACAGTCTTTCAAGCCTATGATGAACTAACTGAACTGTCATGCTTGTTCACAAACTCTCTAAATACTTGCCTAAATGGGGTCGCGTAACTTAACGTTACTCACATGTAAGTGTTGACAAACAGACCAGAGCTCGCATCCTCGTGGATGCAGCAATATTAGGGGGTATCCCCTTTCTTAGGCACCACTAATCTCAGGTTTTCCTGGCCTCTTGAGTATCAATGACAGTAAACACTTTGGACCAAGAAAGGACCACGACAGGCGTCAGTCTTCTCACTATTTCAAACTTCCCACTGGTAATTTGACCTGGCCAAAAGCGGCAGTTTCTAGGTATGCCTCAGCATTTGCCACGGTCTAGCTGGGCAAATGTGCCACTTCGAGATTGCCCCAGTTTTTCAGAGACACTGAAAGACGATCAATACGCTAGGAAGACAGTTGCACACATGGTACACAGGCTAGTGAGATCCAGAAGGCAAAGGATGGAAGGGACCACAACAGCCCAGTTGAAGTGCACAAGGAGATACGGTCGCACATAGGCAGCTTCGGAGGTTGGATCACAGACGGTTGAGTGAGAGCATCACTCTGCTGGACCAGACAGAACAGAGGTTCCATTAGCACTAGTCATCTTCCTTGACTATTGCTCTGCAGACAAGAGAAAAGTGGATGCTGACACTGTCGTCAGTGGAATAGGGGTTGAGAGGAAACAGTGAGGGAGGACCTTAGGCAAGCTAGACAATAGGCAAGAGAGAAGGGATGGTGTCGCCGAGGGGCAAGGAAGCTGAGAGGGAAACAGTGCCTACCTTTCGAAGAATCTGGCAGCCAAAGTTGTGTCCCCAGCATCCCATAGCTCACAAGCAACGTCATTCCATGGGTTTCCTGCCAAAAAAGCAAACATCAAATCACTATAGGTGTCAGTGGAAAGAAATGTCCAGCTAAAACAACTGCAAGTTTACACAGCACCTCACACTGTGAACTTCCTATTACTGTCAATCCATCATGCCAAATACCCCCTATTGACTTCAAATCATTACAAGAGTGTCAACTTCCTAGCACTGTCAAATCATGTGAAACACTCCCTATTGACATCCTCTCCCTACCTAAGCCCCGGCTCACGATCCCCCCCCTTCTCCCCCCCTTGCAAACTATCGCTTGTTAAAATGACCACAAAAGGTATTGCCATCGTATTCTTACTCAAGCACTTACCAGTGCACGTACTGACTAATGTGTGCACACTGTCAACACTGTACTGCCGAACCAGGTGTTGAATAACTCTCGAAACGCAGAGACCCATGTTGTCATTTATTGTGCGAACCTGTTGTCACAACCTTACATTAACCATAGTAGTGGCAGTGGCACCAGTCCTTGAGACAGTCATCCCGTAGTATGAACTTCCCCATACCATGGCATGTTGACACACACACACGCTCTCACATACACACAAGTGCGCGCGCACACACACACAATCTTGGAGTTGTGTATGGCGAACATGACAAACCACATCAGCAGACAAACTACGGGCTGTGCATCCGTGCCCTCATGGGAGTCGATCTGAGTTGTTGACATATTGAGAAATCTGTATCATATCATCCCTTGTTCGCAAGGTGGCACTGTTCTGATTTGATGTAACTCCCCCCTCAGCACTGTCAGGAATCAACCTTGCACGAGGCTTCTAGAAATAATGATGGAGGCAAATCCTAACCCTCCACACTGTCTTAGCAAGGAGACCCTGTAAAATTATAACCCAGTTGCTCCTACAATTTCGAAAGGCTACAACCAAGGACGCCGGGCCTATCAATGACATTGATCCGAAGCATCACAGCGAATGATTTTGCAACACACTAGCATTTGACAACCGGCCTAGAGATGCAATGTGCCACTGACCATAAATGGCAGTAAAGTCTCAGGTCTAACGCATCACATATTACCACAGAAAATGTCAGAAATTCAGCAGTGGTGCTGTTTGCAAGCATGGCGAACAAGAATGCCTCTGAAGGCCAGGGTAACACACAGAAACAGTGGCTATGCTGGATGATCAAGGGCTAAGTTCAGCTGAGTTCTCTTTCCTGACATAAGAGCGCTTAAACCAGGAAACCCAATGCAAATAATCAAAAGAAGCAAATCCTCGCAGGGCTTCAGACTTCAAACTCTATCCTTCATTCCAATTGAGAAGCAGAGGGTTGGGGCCTTGGCCGCTGTACAGATCATTTATGATGGATGGAATGCTTACCGTAATCATCATCCAGTTCGATAGCCCTTGCGCACTCACGCACACATTCACTCTTATCAGCACCAGCCTGCACGTTACATTTTAAGAACACCAGAACCATATCAAAACAAGCTATTCGATCACAGACACTCAAATTGGCATCAAACAGTCATGAATCCATCACTTCGCGCATCCCTCAGGATATCATCATTCATGAAAGCACCAAGGTCCAGCGATGTGGGAGCAAAACTCCACTCAGTTTCTATTCAGAGAGTTTTGGACTGACAGGAAAAACAAGCAGCACTATTTTTGGCGCCTAAATGAGGGAGTCTGCGAGCGGCCATAACAGTGTGTTCTAGGCCTATACTGTGTCCTTTTCAGTGTTGTTCATTGTAGGCTTCTCAGGGCAGCCAGACATCCAGTGGATGATATTCTCCATGTATCAGGTACGCTGGTGTTCAATACAATTTGGTGTAACTGCGTTTCAGTTGTGATTCTTCAATTTGGTCTTCGATTCAGTTTGTACGACTGACGCACATTGGAAGTAATCAAAGCTTGGTGAGATACTAACACTGGCATCAGAGCTGGCAACAATTTGGAGGTCGGGCAAGTGGTTGGGTCCTCCAAGCTGCCACATCAGCACCTGATACGCATCAGCAAGTGCCATAGCAGCATTTACCATCCAACAGTTGGCATCTACCAACTTTATGATGTGCCTGGTTTGGGCCAGTTCATCGCAAAGGTTCACAAGTGCCAAATCAGCATAAACCACGGAGGATGACAGGAGAACGGATGAAACTAATTGAATTTAAGTGAAGATGTTGGAAGACAGACACGCAATTGTGAAGGATGAGCTTGCAGTGCTGGAGGCAATGAAAGCTGAATTGGAGGAGCGGGTGAAAGAGGATGAGGACTTAATAGAGAGGCAGAGTGGACTCCAAGAGAAGCAAGACCGAGTAGACTGCCGATGTGAGTGATGGATTGGCAGCCTTCTCCACATTGCAATCCACTCATGGGGACGAACTGTCCACTATAGAGGCCAAGCTCAATGCAATAGACACGTTGAAGAACCGGATCACGTCCATCGGCAGTAAACTGGACGCCATCGTGGCCACACTGCACGGCCGGCAGGAAGAACGGAAATCCAAACCAAGGCGGAGGTGCCACCCGGATTTAACAGCAAAAGAGACGAGGACATAGGTCACTGGTCGTGGGCTATCAATGGTCAGTTCAATTACTACGAGCTCACCAAGGGTACCATCAGGATTCACTTTAGGTCACACCTCCTCGAGATCGTCTGATAACTTGGCCCGCGTCTTCAACCACTGCAGGGTTCGATGGTCTGAGGAAAGCTTAAAGGGGTGCCCCAGCAGGTAGTGTCCATGTCCGCGAGCCGTATTACAGAGCATACAAACTCTTGGTCAAAAGTGCCATCTGCAACCCTTTGAAGACATCTTCACCCACAAGTAGCTGTCACTGACTCTCCACTTCGACAGTATAGCTCCCATGAAGTCGGACTTCCACGAGCACGTTTGCAACTTGGTCAGAGGGGGGAATATCCAGAAAACTTCTGACGAAGTGGTGTGGGCCTTCCAAGATGCTGCAAGCGATTGGAGATGGCCGAGAGGGGCCCATCTATCTGGTTGATGTACCACCCCTTACATGCACTCATCACCCACATTCAAAGACGGGCGGAGCGTGCATCCTCCTACCATGGAGGTAAGGGCAGGCTCAGAGAAAATCATTGCTCATCTTTTCATGGGCAGATCAACAGGGAGGCCGAGCAAGACTTAAAGGGTCAGGTTTCAGTGCTATGCAGACAAGGACGAAGACAAGTGCATTGATGATCAAACCACTCTTATCTAGACAGCGCACCCCTAATTGTTGCAAATCATGAGAGCAGCCTCTAAATGCAATGAAATGCAGTGCGACAAGCGGGCTGTATACTAATTTTGTCCCTGGTGCCGTTGTCGGGACTTGATCCCGCAACCTTTGTCTGCTGTGTTGCCTGTTTGCCTGCTGTTTGCTTGTTTTGAGCCTTGCGGGACTTGATCCCGTGACTTGTAACTTGTGTTTTATTTGTGAGTGTTGTGCCCTCTGGGACTCGATCCCTGAGTCTGTCACCAGTTAGTCTTTGTGTAATAGTCTTAGGCCATTCGGCCTTTTCTTTTTCCTTGTCTTAGGTCTAGGTCCCCTTTTCCCGGATTTCCATCCCCATGCAGATGAGTTTTGGGCTGTTGCCTGGGGAATCCCTTGTAGGCCTAGTCCGTGAGTCTAGACGTAGCGGGAGGAAAATAGAGTCGACGTCTTTTCATGTTTTCGTTGGCTGGGGAAACTCTGCCCATTCGTTGCTGGAGCGCTGCTGCGCTATTTTGGGCGAGGGCATCTTCTTCGTTGAAGCCCAGCCATAGCTGGGGCTGGGACACAAAATTGAAGATCGCACTGCTGCTATTTAGCAGCTCTGCACAAGAGCTTCGACAGGACTGTGTTGTTGGGTTTGGGCGCTGCCATCCTCCACTTGGCAGCCATATCTAATGTTCCTCCTCACGAGGAACTTCATCTTCACCTTCTTCGAAGTGCTGGTTTGGTCGTCTCCTTCTTCATCAGGACTTCCAGCACTGCACTTCGGTGCGGGCAGCTGAGCTGGTGCTACTATCATTGGAGTTGCTGGTTCAGACTGGCACGTTGTGATAGCTGTGTGGTTACTGCTGCTACGGCAGCCATAGCCAGGGGTATGAGGTGGCGAGGAGGAAGAAGAAGACTCCTGCATACTTCGTTGAACTCTTGTTTTTGGTTGTTCAGGGTCATTGTAAACGCGGTTGAGATTCTTGGAACAAGTATTCTGGATTGATTGGAGGACGACGGGGGATTACAGAATCGAAATTCGTTTTTCAATTCTCTGTGTATTTGAGCTTCCGCTGTGCATATCTTCTCTCCGGTTTTGTGTGGCTTTGCCTCCTCCGAGTATACTCTGCAATTGCATGCGTGTATGTGAACATGCGAATTGGTTGTGGATTGAAGTTCAATCGGGTACATAACATAACGGCAAAATAGAAGAAGAAGATGATTACAGCTACAGATTCTGTATATGCCAATATGTTGTCCATTAGCCAGAAATTTGAACTCCTCATTTATGAAAACCTTTGATGCCGGTTGCAGGATTCAGTAAACTGTATGCAAACAACTGAACTACTATCCAATCTCAGTTTCCAAACTTGTATATATGTTCTTAGGGGACATCAAACTGAGCCAGGGCTAGAGACACCTACAGCTCTCTAGAATAGAGTGCAGAACGAGCCCGTGGGCCCAGGCAAAACATCACTTTTTTTTTTTTTTTTTGGAAAAAAGCTCCATCTATTAGTGGGGAGCAGCACCTGCTGGAAACCGGGTCCAGCGTCCCATAGATACAACCATATCTTCACAAATTGGCACAAACTGGGAACCGGGCCCAGCGTCCCATAACGAGTACGCTCAGAAAACTTCAACAGAAAATTCATGAAAATGAGACAAGGAACTACTAGAAAAATCTAATTAGTAATTAGCCTAAGGATGGAATTTTGGAAATTAAGATACCGGTGCGAGGCCATTGCCTCGATAAGCCCCATAAGGCCCCATTTCGCAGCCCGTCGGCCGCCCTAAGTGAAGGCAGGCTCGACGAGGCCCTCAGGGCCCTATTCTGGCCGCCACGCAACTCAGGGAAATTCAGGCAGTTGCGCAGCGCCAGTTGGTTGAGTGAACCCAGGCCCTGGGCCGCCTGTGTGAATGTATGTGAAGCAGGCCTTCGGCTGGATACGGGCACCG